ATAAAGTTTTCACAAATGTTGGAAATGGAGCATTTAATTCATTTTTTAAAGTCGCAATAAAAGCAAGGGCTCATATTATCACTTTCTCCTCTATAAATAAAACTATAAATACTTTTGACATTGCCATAAACAGATTGCATTTTAATTAAAATAATTAATTAATATAGATTTTAAAATATGTATCCTTCAGTTATGTATAAACATTTGTCATCATAATAAATATTTTCTATATTTCGATGTATGATTCACTGAGAAAAATGCATTGAATTTACAGTTCGAACTGTTCAAATAACACTGTGGATAGTCACATTTGTGTTCAACTAATCTAATTAATAACATTCAATAATAATCAAGTAATTAACAAAATTGATAACTGCAAATAATTGCAGTACAAATAACTTGAAGCATTTACATAAACGAATATTTTCGTGTTTATAATAGCATCCAAATTTGCCCCCAATAAAAGATCCGAAATAGAAACGACTTACCGGAGCGAATAAACTCTGAAGGCAGGGTAACACATTTTGCGAGTCACTGCGCTGCCCGTCACGACGAATCTGCACGGCGGATTTGCGGATCTTGATGCAGAACTTCTCTAAGATCTTCAGAAGAACCAGAGTACGTTTTGACAGAAATTTTATTTTCACACATTTGAATCACACCGTGGACACTTTGTGTTCCTGGTACAGTTTTTAGTAGTATAAACTTCTTGTTGTTTAACATTTTTATCTGAGTCCATTCGAAAAGTTATTTAAGATTCGTGGTCTACGTTCCCTGAATACTAGCGTACATAGCAAGTCGTTTAATTGTTCCACCTATGCTGAGACAAAGACATTTCCCTTATCAGGTAACAAATGACATTCAGCTTAAGTTTGGAAATGAGACTTCTGATGCAACAAGTTCATAGAGTTCTTACGGGTGAATGACCGAGAGGAATTAAAAAAGTACTTATATTACTTATTGTGACCTGTGTTTCAATTCTTGGTGGCACATAGTCTTCAGTTTCTGTCCCAGACTCAGGTGTATGAACTACATACGTCATTTTCGATGTCTTAAATCTGCACTGATGACATCAAGTCATCCATTACTAAGATAGGCAATTTATTACATATTTAGTCACATTTCTTCTTTCTGTGCGCTAGCTATACTTCTGTAGAGCCAACGGATTGCCACACAAACTAATAAACTTATTCACAGGTTAGACATTGTGAATCAATTTTATCACTGTCATCGATTTTCACAACCACACCAACTACACAGAACTTCACTCACTGATGAGAACTCGACTACACGTTCAACAAACAGATTCTCTCCGATTCCCCAAAATCGCGATACAGTTCACAACGAATTGAGCAAGCGCCCCCTATCCCCAGCATCGCACACGACTTTCAACTTTAACCCGTTTAATCCCGTGTTGTGTTTTCTCAACAATGTGTGCAGAAAGTTAACATTTGAATATCTCGGAAATGGCTCAACGTTCCAACATGAAATTTGGAAGACAGCATAATTAAGTAAAAATCTTACCCTTGCCCAAAAATTGTGCGAAAAATATAGTTTTTGGAATTATAAATATATAATTTGGTTTTCATATTTATTTAAAGTGAAAATTCTTAATACATTGCCCATTGAAAATATGACAATTTGATAAAATATTATATCTTTCTATATTATTCTTTCATTTTTCTGCTATACAGTCTGTGATTTCCAGAATATTTTTTCATTTTACCCTACGTCTAAATTTTGTCAATACTTTAATTGTTGTAGGAAAACCATTGACCCTCACATTTGACAGTTTTAACTTTTCATTATAAAGGCAATAACATATTAGAAAACAAAAATTATCTGAAAACCCGTCATAAACTTTAAATTTTGGATGGAATGACCATGCGGCACATTCTTTGTTGTAAATTTCCTCCCAGTCTTTGGAATTGATTGGTCCTCGTAACGTTTGTTCCATCAACTTAACTCCGTATGTAAACAGTCTTTGTATGTATCCCTCTGCCGTGTAGTTCGACTGGCTGCGTCCTTCGCGCAGCTCACCAGGTTTGCCAGATTGGGGAGTTTTGTCCCCAAAGTGGGGATATTTTTTCGTTGTGGGGAAAGAATGGGGAATATAAATGGAAGGGGGTATGTTTGTTTGTTGTCTTTTGCGGGAAATTTTCATTCAGAGTCGGGATAGAAATATTGTTCTCTGAATTATTAGGAATAAAAAAGAAACAATAGACTTTATTATTTCTCACTTTTATGTATAAAAAAGATACAAAGAAACTTCAGACAGAAAAACACGAGAAAAGCGAAGAGAGAATGGTTTCGAGCAGCTCATTGGTCGACTATTGGTTGATTTGAATTTAAAAGACCAGCCAATGGAATTGTAAAGGACAGTTGAGGAATTTTATTTCATTGGAGAGGTCATTCGGGGAAACTCCATAGTATTCCTCGTTAAATCCATGAAAGTGCATCTTTTTAAGTTAAATTTAAGTCTAATTTTTTATTTTTCTATAGAAAACGATATTTGCTCATAAAAATTAAACAGCACGCGCATGGTTCTTCAGAAAAAGTAATTGGTAATATTTCTGAAAGGGGTAAATTGTTTGGAAAACATGCAAAACCACTTTGCTCTCACCATTTGAGGGATTTTCCTTGCGAATATTTCAAACCTCACGTACTAGCCACTGCTTTACTTATTGTGTTCAACGCAAAAATAAAATAAAATTTACTTCGCGCAACTACACTCTGATTTAATTACAGTGGCACTTTAAGGTTACGTGCAAGGATGAGTGGGAGACACTCATCTAATAGAGAGCTCCAATATAAAAATTTAACGGAGTTGATGACAGTGGTCTTCCTCTCAGATTAGCTCGTGGTTTTCATGTGCCACTGTGTTTAAATGGGAGTTTATAGCAAATAATGTTTCATTAAGCGGCGTAAGTTCCACAGAAAATGATAGGACCATGTCCGGCGACCCACGAAAAAAAAGTAAATTTCAGTATTAAATAGGTAATTTTTACCTACAAAACAATTTCCTGATCAAATGAGAGTTGCTTTAAGATGTTATTGTACGCTTTATTTTTGCTTAACACGACCTCGTGCTGCAAAAACTGACAATAATTCATAGATAGCTGTGCCTTTCAGGAGTCCATGTTGAATGTTTAAACATATCTTTAAAAATAGGTGAGAAACAGGAAAAAAGAGAATATTAAATTAAAAAGAAGCGTCGGTCCGTTCCGGGTGGTATACATTCGCAGTCTCTCCAGGATTTTTTTTCCCACCTGTGCATCACAAACAGAAAGAAAAGTGTTTTCTTATTCTTTGATTTATTATTATTTAATTAATATTGACAATGCATTGTTTGTGCGGTTTGGTGCTCATAATGTAAATATTGTGCTTAATGTCATGAATGGTCTCATTCCCGTTCCCAGACATTTTACCGTTTGCCAGAACGAATTTCTATTTTCTTTAGTTATAGCATTAGCCGGTACACTATATTAATCGATTTAGATAAATAGCACATCTTACATTAAAACGACTTTGCCCTTCATGATAGTCATCGCGGAACGATTCCTTAATAGCTAAAAGATTTGGATATTTTAATATTTTGCAAGCTTTAAAAAGAATTATATTTTCTGACAAAACATCTGAAGCAAGTGAGGGATGTAACTTGAAAAAAGAAATGGAAAATTCTGAATTTGTTTTTCATGTACTACATTCTAAAATACTAACGTCAACTAACACTGTTTCGAAGTGCCTCCCAAGCCCTGATTTGGATTCGCAAACGACACACAATTCACTGGAGTCAAATTCCAAAACTAATGTTTATTTAAGATCTTGCAAACATATTAATAATTGAACATTGCTCATTATCAAGTCTTCTCGATGTGTGCACAGTATTGACATTTTTTTTGACACTTCCGTCACAGTCGCCAGCGCCGAAAGTACGTTTTCGAAATTAAAGCTGATAAAAATTATTTAGAAAGTGCAATGACCCAAGACTGAGTAATTTAAGATTTTTATGAATTGAGAACGAAAAACTATGAGGTTGAAAATACTATTTCTGCTGTTATTGATAAATTCGTAAATCCGAAGGAAATGCAAAAAAATAATTTTCAATTATATTATGAAATAGCAAAACTGATAACTTGTCTGTAATAATTTATGGTAATTATTTTCACTCATGACATGTCTTTAATTTGGAGGCCCCTGTATTATGTCGGTCCAAGGGCCAACTTTGTTTAACTTACGCCACTTGGTGACACAAGTCAAATACAACAAACACTCGCAGAACCTTCCCATTCAAGAACGGAACTGCAACTGGCCAAAAATCCTATTCGGAACTGTGTTGTCACAGGAAACAACATTGATAGCCACAGTCCATGTGCACGGAGGCGGGGTATCTGATTTCTCAAGTCATGAGGGAATGTTATTTCTACTGCGTTCGTGTAGAAATAAGTGTTTCACTTTTGAAAGGGATTTAACTCGTATAGCGCACGATGCCATGAAAACGCGTAGGGTGTTAGTCAGCGAATGAAAACTAGTGATAACCACGTGCATTTGTTTACATGCTGAATAAAGTTACTGCGAACGGACCCAGTTGGTTGGTGCTTATTACACCCGCACTTACACGTTCACATATAATAAACAAATAAGCAATCTCTTGGAGCAATGTTAGACTACTTCTGTAGAGAGCCTCTACCGATACTTCTGCATGTCAAGAAAGGGGCACCATCTTCTGAGCGAAACGACAGACTTGACATGTGGATGTCAATACGGGGGGCATAACTGTTCCTGGACAGAAATATGTGTAGTACGAATTTGTTGATATGCGTGTGCTGGTACGAATTTTCGCGAACGTAAATATATGCATTCTATGATCAAAAGTTTAGGTTAATGAAATACAAGTCAGTAATTTGTGTTGAAATGAGTGCTGCACGAGATATTTTCAAGGAATTATGAGTTCTGGAAAATCTGTTTGGGTTTTATTATTAAATAATTGGGTTCTGTAGGTTCCAGTAGTTGCGACCGTTATTCAGCGGGTTACTGCAGATGGCCAGTTGACTATTGAAGTGGAACCTCCAGGTCCTGAACAAGAACCAAATTTTGAACAAGAAGCAAACTGTGATTCGGAAGAAGCAGAAGAGTCTGAAATGAATTCCAACAGTAAGTGGCAATTACTATTCTTCTGTTCAGTGTGTCCCAAATTGTTTTGTGCTCTGTAATTGAATGTGAAAGAAATGTAATGCATTACTATTTGCACAGATTGTGAAGTCGTAATCCATGTTTTCCGGGTCTCTGATACCAAAAAATTGGTTGTCAGCGAAATGTCTGTCTGTCTGTCTGTGATAAATGCTAGCAGCTAAATCTTTAAGACCATTTTCTTCAAATTTATCTGCTGACATTGAGGTTCTGCAAGTTTGAAACGGATATTTTGATTTTGGGGGGGGGAGGGATTCTATACATTAACCTCAACATTTTCAAAATTTCATCAAAAATAGCTACAATTTTTTTTATAGAACTTTTCCTTGGATAGATTAAAGGACTCTTAAAAAATTGTGCGGGTCTCTTTTTCATTGAATTCTTGCAATTTTTTGAAATTGCAAAAGTTTAAAATATTGTTGATGTCTTCCTGCAACAAAATGGAAGATGGAGATTTTTCCCTTAATGTGTTCTTCAAAGACAGTTTTTAAAATAATGTCAGGTATAATGTTTTGAAAGTACAAGTAGTTTTCATGTAATTTTGCGTGAAATACAGTAATTTTTTCATTGAATTGAACAAAGAATGTTGAAAAAAAAACTCATGTTCCATTTTCTGAGAACTCTGTATTTTTGAGTATTGCAAAAAATTAACATGGCAAAATTGCAATGATGAGTGATTTTTTTTTTTTCTTAAAGAAATCTTGTTCTAAAAATTTAGATCTTTAAATACATTCATGTAAAAAGAAAAATAGTAGGTTATGTGTAATTTTTAATTGAAGTAAAGGCAATTTTAAAAAATGTCATTTTTTTTAGGCTCCAATTTTTTTCTGCAATAGAGCAAAGGATTCTTGAAATATGGTCCAGATGTCGTTTCTGTTGAACTCGGAATTTTCGAAAATTCTGAAATATTGCAAATATGTGAAAGTGTGTGCTGTTGTAGCTCTGCTAGTTTCTTTATTAATGTGCATTGTTTTTTATGTTTGTGTATTATATGTATGGAATTTGATTTTCATTCAGTTTCTCTTGCCAATTTGTGTGACATTTATATATAAAGTAGTATCTATTTCCTTCCGTTCAATAACATAGTTTCCAAGTTATGATCAACATTTTTAGTCCTTTGAAAAATGTGCTATCGAGTTTCTACCCTCTGAGTAAATATGGAAAATTTATTTTACAGAAAAAAGAAGAACATATAATTGTTTAAGTCCTGTTCAACAGCTACCATTTTTCAGATAGTTACAATACCAAACAAAATAAAAACTACTTAAAATGAAAATGGTTTATGATGATATTGTATTTGTCGTACTGCAGATGTTGCTGTGACCACTACATCTAAAGTTCAGTATGTTCAGCAAAGTGGAGTAATTTTGCATGAAGACGAAGAAGTAGAAGAAATAGAAAGTTCTGTTGATCTCCTTGAAGCTTCATCCACTGACCAGGAAATTATTCATGAAAAAACTGTGGAAATAAATGAAGAAAGTATGACTGCCGAACAAGGTAACTTGAACAATTGATGAAATAGTTTTCACTAACTAATGAAATGTGTGTTTAAAAAGGGTTGGAGATTATTAGACACTTTTAAAAATGGCTTCTTTTTTCCCCACCCTTTTTTCCTTTCTCCTCTCTCAAGAACGATTTTTTTTAAATAATGAGATTTTCTTATATTCGGGGATTAAGTATGGTTAGTTAGGATCAATGTTTTTATATTCTCTTTCCCTATTCAAGAATGAGTGAAAATACAATAATGTACTTTTTACTTGGTAGATTTTGAAACGTAATTGATCTTGTGGGACTTTTTTGAGTGATCATCTCAAAAATTCTCAAAAATGTAACTCCCAAATTTAAAGTAAAAAAACTAAAAGAAGGCCAAATGTAGTTGTGTGGTTTTTGTTCTTTAAAATGAATAATGCATTGTACTATTTTATTACTAAAGGTCTACTGGAATTGGCTGCAACGGGAGGAATCCAGTTTGTGAAACCTTCAGTAAATGGCACCTTTGAAGTACTTACTCAGGAAGAAGCCGCAGAGATTATGCAGCAGCCAGGACAAACAATTGAAATTGTCAATAGTGGAGAAGATATAGAGGTAAGTCATTTACATATAGTAGATTGCCTTGAAAATTATTCTCATGAATATTTTTTAGTTAATTTTTTCAAATGGGTAATATCATAAAGAGCATTTCTACACGGCAAAAAAATGCTTCTCCCGTTGTTAAAAATGAACACAAAGCGAGTCCTTCTTCACTTAACATTATGAAACCATATCACACAGTACAAGACATGGAGCAAGGGGCTAAACTGATTGCAAAACTGTTTGAAGCGTACATTGCCTCCTGTGTGTCTGCTCTGGTCTAGCATGTGCGACCCACACAAAAACTGCCATCCGTCTGTCCATGCTGTACCAACTCAAGTGTGTGCTAGACTTCAAGAGAATTTTCCCCCCCCAAAATGCACATCAGTTCATTTGCTTTCCACAACACAATTGTCAATTTCCATCATTCCGTACCAGGGTTAAAATTAATCAGTGAAAGCTGGCAGGTTTCTGAACTGTAATCATGTATATCTTGCAATCCAAAATTGAGATTTGTTGGCCAAAGTCTTGAATCCACTTCAAGTGTGCTAGTGCATGATACCAGGAAAGTGGAAAACATTGTAGATGATGATGTGAGTAATGAGACTTTCGATGTGTTGTCAGCATTATCCAGCACTTAAGCTTTTAATAATTTTTTTTTATTCAAATCTGTTTGCACAATACATTACATGCTTTATATTATGCTCATAAATACAACAGTGTAAAATAGGAGTTTAACCTGTTAAACTAATAAGAAAGAAGTATTCCTTACATGCCTATTAATTCTATGAGTGTGAGTGTTTCATATTTTTATTTTGCAAAAAAACTGAATTTGATAGAGAAAACTGACCATGCTCAAAATTAGATCTATTCCAACATCTTGCTGTGATTGTAGGTTTAAATTCTGAATCTAATGAAATCGAACCAAAACCAATAGTTAATTGGATTAATTTTTCCACCCCAACATGTTTTTTTTATTGTTTATTGTACATTACCCAACATTGGAGAAAATTTGCTATTTATCTTATCTTTGGACTAAATACTAATGAGAATGTAATTTATTGATATGTACTTTGAGAAATATACTTCACTTGAATGACTTCATGATTGCAGGCTGATGATGATAATGATACTATTATGAATCAGAACAGTTTGAGTGCTCTTGTTGATGCTATCCGAGCTGCTGGTTATCAGGTAAGAGAAAGAAATTTCTTCTTCTTTCTTTCTTTCTTTTTTTCTTTCTTTCTTTCTTTCTTTCTTTCTTTCTTTCTTTCTTTCTT